AGGCATAGGGTGCCTCATTTTGACCCTTGACCCTGGGCTTACTACCAGTGGGGGATACGTGCTGACTACAGAGCGAAGTGTACGAGAATTGCCGTGTCCGTGGGTGTTGTGTGTGGTGTGTGTTGAGTTGGACACTACAGCCTTGCAGGGGTGGGGTGGATATCACGACCGGTACCATTCCACTTTTGAACACCGTGTCCTGGCTGTAGTGGTTAAGAGACTTGGCTCTTGAGGCCAAAGTCGCCGGTTCGAATCTGTGCTTGCACGGAGGAGGACTTAGGCCCAGACGTACGGAATCCATACTACTATTACTGACGTAAGGACTTTCTAGCGCCTTTTCAGAGGCTTGGAAGTCAGTTTTGAGTCTTGACCGCAGAACTTCGACTGGGCAGAAATTCATGACCCTTAGACTACCGCTAGTTGTGTGTGGGTTTTGAACTTGGTTCTTTGCATCAGGCCTGAGCTTGCACAGCCTTTATTAACCGCGTTTGAGGCACGTCCACGGAGAGGTCTCCTTTTTTTCACTATCTTGCATCGAGCGGGATCGAAAACGTTTCAAAAGTTCGAAAAGACTCTTTTCGGTGTTTTCGTTTCCTGAGGATAGGACTTTGAACTTGAGCGAATTAGGGTCATTGAAGGGGGGTGGAATTAGCCCGTCAATCATGGGAAACTTACGCAGTCGGTCATGGACGTACCCACAAGGCAGAAGAAGTCCAAATGCACTCAATGTAGTCCCAGAATACTTGCCCTCAATGATAACTCAGAATGGAACCACTCACAATGCGGAATAAGTCCCGGTGCCCTCAATGTAGTCCCAGAATAAGCACCGGGTCGCCAGAAATTAGACAAAGGTGGAGAAGGAATGGTGAGAGAGGGAGCCTCAGGATAGTTTCATCAGTAAACAAAACAACAATCAGCAAACACTCTGAACTGGATGTAAATGACGGTCAATACGATTCAAGGGGAGCCATCATTAATTCGGTCAGGACCCCTCGAGCGACTCCAAGGGGTTAAACCACCAGTACATCAGGAGAACTTTTTTTTTTTTTTTTTTTTTTGAACGGGCCGAGTGCCCAGGGCTGATATTATCAATGAGAAGATTGAGGCCGGGGTCCTCACAGTCTATCGGGAGTAACCGAACCAAAATTGCTGAGAACCGGGCTCAGCATCCCTCGTTTTGATCAGGACATATAAAACATTTGTGCTGGAAACCGGGTCCCTACATCGGGAGAACTCGAATGAGCCTCTGCAAAAAAGTTAGGGAACTCCGGAAAGGGCCCGCCTGGGGGTGGGCGCAATTTTTTTCACTTCTACTGGACCTTCCTTCTGACACCCTGTCCCGAGCCTCCAAAATTTTAGGAGAGGGTTCCATCGCGATTCTCAACTTGGCTGGGGGCCTGGGGCCATGTGCTGGTGGTTTAAGCTGAGCAACTTGCTGCTAGTGAAATCAGTGTACCAGCAGCAGTCCTCGTCTTCCCAAAGTCCATCTGTTCGGTTCAAGCTTCTGCAAAGGAAGGACCTATTTTCTAGTCTTGCAATTGCCTGCGTTATTTGGTAATACATTCATTCTTGTACCCTCTGCAGTCAAGTTAGTTTCTCATTTTAGGTTATAAAAAAAAAAAGAAGAAAAAAAAAGGTTAGACAGCCTTAGGGCTGAGAGGCCAGGCTGCAGAGGTCATACTTCGCACTGGGGTAAGGGGGGTCCATCCGCTTCCTGGATCTCTCCCGCAACGCGGGAGCTCTTCCAGCGAACTTCCAGACCTGGGTACCTCCGCTTCCACCCCCGTCGGACGATGAGAATTCGAGCCGATCAGACGGGCCTCCCGGACCCGGCTCAGATGTGTAATGTGTCCCTCTTCTCCTTGGTCCCCCCCACGAAAAGGTCGGTGTGAATCTAACATAGAAAAACATAAGTGAAGGTGGGTAAAGCTCCCGGGGTGTCGATTGTAATTTTGTGCATGAGGGGTGCTGGACCCATTTTCCAGCGGGTGCCACTCGCCACCAATGGATTGAAGCCATCCATAAGAAAGCCTTGATCCCGCTGGTGCTCTTATCACCATGGCACCACAGGACTTCACAGGATGTTTCTTCCAACCAAAAAAAAAAAAAAAAAAAAGATAAAACGGATCCTCCACCCCTCTTCTCTTCCGGGACCTTCTCCCACCAACTTGCCATCACAACATGCAGGTCTTTCCCTGAAGACACTGATGAAGTACCTCTGCAGGAAGGTACCAGCTATGGTGTCCAACCTCCAGCTTCAATGCTGGCTATGGACGTTGGCATCTGCTTTCTTCAGCCTCCTGATGAAACCAGCAGCAACTCCAATATCACCAGCGCATAGGTGAGTCAAGGTAAGCTTTCCCATTCTCTCTGTCACGCTCTCTCCACTCACAATCCTGATC